GCTCTCTCATAAGATGTTATACATATAGAGCGTTACATAGTCATACAACGTACAACAGAACACCAATTTGAAAAAGAAAAAAATTGATTTGTATCCATATGAGTGTTCATTGACAAGGTTTTTGTTACTTTATGCAACTATATTTACATATTTTTCAACTTAATATTTTGCATGACAACGAAAGTCAATATGTCGGATATAAAGAAAATCAGAAGCTTTTTTCTTTTTGAAATAGTTTTATTAAGGAGTCAAAACTAATAATAACTAGAACAATCTGAATACCTATAAAAAGTTATTTTTCCTTGCATTGAATCACAATAATTTCAATGAAGGAACAAGAGGATCCATTTCATTAGTTTTTAATGCTGAATCGTCATCGAAGTCATGTATTTCTTGTTTCTGTCTTGTACACGATTCAGTAGAGTTTGCTAATGTTCGAAGATATTCCGCTTCAGCCATTCCAGTCTGTTCCACTAGTAAAGTAAAATGAGAGTTATCATTTGACAGTAATACTTGAGGCGAATCAAACTCGATCAATTTTCCATTACTAAGCACCTACAGCAACAAAATAAATGTATACACTGTGTAAAATAACCATCAATATTCGATACCATGATACGATCACTATCAATCACTGTACGCAAACGATGTGCTATTGTCAAGACTGTACAGTCTTTGAATTTATCACGAATGGTTCTTTGAATCAATTCGTCCGTTCTAGATAATATTTTCAATCTTTTTCTTTCTAAATATCTCATTTTTTTGTCACTCACACATTATCCACATTAGCAGTTGCTTCATCAATTACAAGAATTTTACTCTTTTTCAATAAAGCTCTTGCTAAGCATACCAGTTGTTTTTGACCAACACTCAAATTAGATCCACTTTCACTTACTAATGAATGAAGAGCATTTGACATCATATCTGTTACTAATTTTTTCAATAGTACCTATATGAGCAAAACACAAATTTATTCAACTATTGACTTAAAACAAAATGATCCAATTATGACTGACTTGTTCAAGTGCATTCCATATTTCAGCATCTGAATAAAAACCAAATGGATCAAGATTACTTCACATTGTACCAGTAAAAAGAACAGGATCTTGTGGAATAATTGAAATACGACGTCGAACATCATCTAATCCAACAGTTGTTATATCAATATTATCAATGATAATGTGACCATCGACAAGTGTACCCATTCGAAAAAGACTTTGAATGAGCGAACTTTTACCAGCACCTGTTCTTCCAACAATATAAACTTTTTCATCAGATTCAATTATTAATGATATATGATGAAGAGCCAATGGTGAATGTAATTCTTTCGAATGAGACATAGAAACATTTTCAAAAACAATACGACCTTGTGATGGCCAATTTGTTAGTGGTCGATATTTAGTTGGTAGTTGACTAGGTGGTTCTTGATCAAGTGAACAATATTCAAGTATTCGTTCAACTGATGTCATTTGAGTTTCTACTTCAACTGATTGTCTTGAATAAACAGCATATTCTAGACAGAGAAAAAATGTACACTTTATTTTTCACGCTCTAACCTGATAGTTCCTTGAAAAAGGCCCATTAAATTGAGACTGTAGGTGAGTGTAAGAGCAATATCAACAGCTGAAAATTGACGTTGACTTATACGAACAATTATGGCAAGTATAATCACCAAAGCAATAAATATAAGAGATACCCAATCAAAACGCATTGCTGACCATCTATTCAATGTCGCAATCAAATAACTGACTCGTGTATTATTATCAAGATGATAATGAAATTCTCTAGAACAAATATTTTCAGCATGATAAGATCGAATAACTTTGACACCATGAATAGTTGATGTTAATTGTGAATAAACAGGACTTCGTGTTGTTCCTACAAGTCGTTTTAAATCACGAGAACATGAAGCAAATCGATATCTCAAATAGAACATGCCACTTCCAGCAATTATTGCTGGAATAAATGACCATGGATTGAGGAATACAACTAAAACAATTGTGCCCAATACTTGAGATAAACACTAGACAAATATGTTATGTTTATATTTACACAGATTACAAACAAATAACATTTACCACAAGGAACTCATGTATAATTATTGGTAGAGAATCATCCATTGCAGCAACATCGCTTGTAAAACGATTCAATATTCGACCTATAAACAAACATTAAAGAGAAACTCGAACTCATGTTATTTACTTCTACAATTTTTAGTATTTTCTTAATTTGAATTTATTATAGTTAAAGAACAAAATGTATTATTTAAAGTTCATCTCGCTTCTTTTGCTCTAGTTATTCATTAGATATTTCTGTATGTTGCAGAAATTTAAACTTTTGTTTTTCGAACAGGATGTATTGAAAAAAAATCAAGTACTTACCAACTGGATTCGTATCAAAAAAAGATATAGGACATCGAATGACTCGTAGAAACATTCTGAAAATAGAAAAAAAAACAAAGATTAAGAAAGCAGAAGATCAAATTTGACAAATAACTTACTTATTATGTAGTACTCGACCAGAATTTAAACATATAAGTCGACAAACAACAGTACGAAGAAATATTAAAAAGCAAAGTAACAGTACGAGAGCTAAAATTCAATATAAGAATATAGAAAAAGCAACTAAAATTTCATTAACAAACCAACCATAAAATATATAAAATCGTCGATCTCGATGTGTATACCATTCAATATCATTCATTTGATATATTGTATCTATTTTCTTGTCTTGTGTCACCATACAATTCGTTAAATTTTGATGATGACGACGATTTTCATCATCACTCCATGCTGCTAACCACCAATTATTATAAATAGATATTGTTTGTTGTATTGAAAATATAATTATAATTAATAGAAAACCAAAAATGACACCAACACCAGCTCGAAGATATGATATATAAACATTCCATTTTACTGTTCCTTCTGATTTTGTTTCAAGATTTTTTGGTAATACATTAATATCTTCTTCGTCTGAATTCTCTTTTTCTGAACTTATTGAACCAATTCTTGATTGTTGATTTGATAAAGAATCTGTTTGTTGTTTGTGTTCATGTTGATTAATATTTTCAAGAAGTTGAGCAAATATTGATGAAGATAAAAGTAATTCTTCATATGTTCCCATTTGTATCATTTCACCCTATATAATACATAGTGAATTTTATTTAAAAAAAATCACACAAACATTTTTATTGACAAACATACATTATCGAGAACAATAAGTTTAGTAGAATCTTGTAAAAATTGTATTTGATGAGTAGCTAAAATACAAATTTTATCATGAAGATAATTTTTAATTGATCTAAAATTCATTGATATTTGGATGATGAAAATTAAAAAAAAAGAACGGCATTTCTATGTACTCGTCAAAGAGATGTTTAGAAACTTTAGCATCAACAGCTGAAAGTGGATCATCTAATAGATAAATATCAGCATCACGATAAAGTGCTCTTGCCATATTGACACGTGCTTTTTGACCCTATGAATAATAAATTATTCGAATATGCTTTTTCTTTTTTTTTTATTTCGAATAAATCATTGTATCTTACTCCAGACAACATAACACCTTGATCACCAACAAGAGTATTTGCACCATGAGACAATTGAACAAAATCCTATTCATTAAATACAATGGCATACTATTCTGTAAATAAACATTTAAATTAATCCTACTATATCGAGAGCAGTTGCACGAACAACACGTTGAAATAATTTAGAATCATATTCTTTACCAAAAAGAATATTATTTTTTACTGATGACGAGAATATCCCTGAAATACAATCAATTAAATAAGTTTTCAATAATAATCTATTTACATGATTCTTGTGGTACATAACAATATGATCCATATAATCTAACTTTTCCATCAAAATAAGTTATTTCACCTGTTAATGTTTGTAAAAGTGAACTCTGAATAAATTAAATCAAAAATGAAATTCTATTCAAATTTAAAAAAAAAAAAACAAACTTTTCCAGATCCAACAGGTCCAATAATACAAATAAAATCACCAGGAGGAGCATTGAACACAATATTTGTTAATGAAAATTTTCCATTCTACAATATTATAATTATGATTTTATTTAGAAAAGAAAATTCATGAGAACATTAACTTTTTCCCATTGAGTTTGTTTTAAATTACATATAATTTTCGATGTTTGTTTTATTAAATTTTCATTTATGTTCTCTATTTCAACAATATCTGTAAAAGATGTTGATAATAATCGATTATTTCTTTCCGATTCATCAAGTAAAAGAAATGTCTATAGAAAATTAGTCATATCAATTATGGCAATCAAAACATCTATTCACGCTAACTTGTATTCGTTTTTGAGCAGCCATATAATTAAGAAGATCACGAATAGCCATATTAAAAAAAGTAATACAAGATATACGTGTATAACTAAGTAATACATAGGAAAGAGTAAAGACACCTGTATCAAATTTTATATCAAATAACCACATTGTTCCATACATCATTAAGAATGTTACATTAATATAACTATGTGATAAGACCGTTTCAATACAGGTACTCATCATATATAAAATTGTTTTAATCATTTCACGCCTAGATATATATTGATATTTATATTATATTGTAAATAATAGAATAATGGATACACTAACGTTCTGATATGACGAACTTTTCTTTCGAATGCTGATTCCCAACAATACATTTTTACAATTCGCATTGATTTGATAATCTCAGACATAATTTTAACACGTTCATCAGTTATTTTCAAAACTTCAGTACTACAAATCATGAATTCGGGTAATAACATATATAGAAAAATAAACAAACCGTAAATGAAGAAACAAACGACTGAATAATGGTTGAATCAATAGGAGTAATAGTGTATATCCAATGGCAATAAAAGTAATATATTTCACAAAATACCACAATAAAAAAATAACTACAATGATTTGTAGTGGAGCGATCTACAAAAGATAAATAATAGTACTCACAGCACATTTTCATATTTGATTCGTATTTTAGCTCTTAAAAAACACATACCCATAAATAATTAAAACAGAAATGAACTATTTCTATTTTATTAGCATCATTTGCTAATAAATTCATAATTTTACCAGAAGCGTAATTATTCATTGAATGAATTGATAAACGAAGTATCTGTTTAAATACAATAAATTATAATTATATTATCAATTAATTTTTATTCACTTTTCGAAAGATTAAACCACTGTAAGCTACTCGCATTTGTATACCACACATGACAACACGATAAACGTACTACGTAAATAAAATCGAGAATGATCCATATATGTATAATATTTAGATATTGTTATTACTTGGTGAAAAATAAGATTTATACATAATAGTGCTATGATAACAGCCGAAGCTGCTAACCAAGCTTGCCAAGCAAATATTGTTGAACATGGTTCAAAAAATCCAATGAAATAGATGAGTAATAATGGTTGGATAATATTTAATGATTCCTAGTAAAAAAAAGAATTATATTAAAATAAAGATATTTAGATTAAAATAAATTCAAATTCGATTATCTCTGCTTACAAGAGGTATTAATAAAAGACCAATAAGTATCAATTTCCATCCTATAGTGCGTAATGTAGCTCGAATTAGACTCGGATTTTGTGGACATTTTTTTATTTCATCCAACCAATTTGCTTCTAACTTATTAGTCAATGATGTTGATTCAAGATAAGTAGGAATATCATAAAGATCATTGAGATGAAGTGTTCCTTGTTGATGACTTTTCGTAATTAAAGAAGATAACCAACTACATAACTGAAATGCTAATTAACAAAAATAAAATGATAAGATACAACTTACCAATGAAAAAAACGTGAGAAAATATTAGCTTTTAGTAAAGGACTGGGATTGTTTGTAGATGATGACACCTATATCCAGGTTATATTTGTGTCTTATTTGATTATTGTGTAGTATTCTTTCTCCTATCAAGAATAGCTCTATTATGTTCTCTCGCACGAAGAATATGAAATAGTTTTGTACTTTTGAAAAATGAGAACGTTAAAAGTCAATAGAATATTTTTTTTTCCGACCTTGATTTTTTTTATCTACAAAATTTATAAGTTTAAAAATATAATAGTATCGTTGCATTAAACTATCAAACATCATGCAATGTTAATTTTAAAACTAGACCTAAGTCAATTCAATCTTGTTGAAATGAGTCATGATTGCAACATGTCTAATTACTGATAAGTTCTTAAAATTCTTACTTATTCTCATGGAGGCAGAAAAAAATGTCGAAAACATTGATGGAACATATTAAGAAATATTTAAGCAGATGACCCCAGAACAGAAGAATTTTCACATTTATTTCTGTCTTAATAAATTGAAAATGTCTAGACCTATTGATATCAACAACTCGATATTGATTTCATTGAAAATTTCTTCATAAAATAAGTGTACAGATAAAAATCGGTGTTTCCTATCTAGATTGATTATCATTTTTAGTGATAATAGAAGACAATATTGTGTACATCTATCGACGTTGATTACACCAACAGTGATCAGGACATATTTGATTGGGATTTATGGGGACTTTTCAATAGGTTGCTAAGAATTTGGAGATAAATTTCACACGATTCCACAGTACATAAATTCTCAAGAAATAAATGCCAGAAGTCTCTCACATATTACACATAATATTTTGTTAAATAGTAAAGTTGATCGCTCATACTTTTGCACTTGTAATAATTGAGATGCCATTGACTGTACTCTATTCTTTTAACTTAATACTTATAAATTAATTTTTCTTCATAGTATATTGTTTTTTCGCTATCTGTGCAAATGCCAAACTTTTTTGTTTAGGTCAATAGTGGCACTCAACTAGCATTCTCTCTAATGATGTTCGTATAGATTTAAAGAGCAAACATACCTCTATTATTGGTAAAAAATTAGTCGTTCGTTCGAGTCGCAACGAAAGTACTGAAATTTTTCTCGATAGAGTGAATTTTGGACTACCAAATATGTCAATGAAACACAACTTTTACCGTGAAAGTGATTTGAAAATTCCTCAATATTTGAAAATTAGATGTATTATGTCTTCATTAAACTAATACAGCTAAATCGTAATAGATTCTGTGTTAGCGTTCATGTGTAGACAAAAGAGCCGAACATAAAGTTCGTGGCCAGTAATTTAACTAGCTATCTGACAGAAACATTGCATGAGTGCGTTACAATTCATTCTCCTTTCGGATGTGATTTTGAAAAGTTCTAAAATGTGCATATGATAACTCGTCAAAAGTCAGAAGTATATTAATACTACTCGTTAGAAAGGTCTCATGTAATAAGGTAATAAATTTAACAAATCCTCTACATGGTAATGCACTCATCTGTCTTCTGGTAGTTTTGTGAGATTATTTTTTTAAAATCAGAAAGCGGTTGACATTTTTCAAAGAGACTAAAATAGTGCCTCTTCATTAATGACTATTTTCATGTCAAAGTTCTCTCACAAAACTATGTAGAATATTTGCTGAGAATCTTTTTTTGTGTACTATGGGGATGCACACTTGTACCATTAATTCATACATACTGTTTTGAATTCTCGTTTTGCACCAAATGAAACAAATAAAAAAAACAGAGTCATCTCCTTTTATCGTTGAATTTGCTCCACAAACCAATCTACCTTTTATTTAAAAAATCTGAACTGCAACTTTGATCACGTTGAATCGTCATTAGCTAGACAAGCTGTTATTCATGGTTATTTATTTGAAAGAAGAAACAAAACCAATATTTTACGAGTCTACTCGATAGAAAAACGTTGGACTCGATTATTCTCCCTATCGGCAACGTAGAGATTACCACAAGGATCGAACGATAAACCTCGAAGATACTGAAATTGATGTTTATCTGGTTCCGAACCATTTTCACCTACAGTAACAGTGCCCTGTTTCGCTTATTTAGGCCAACTCATCACCCGTTGATTTAACGAGTCTGTCACATGGATGGTACCCAATACATCGACAAACAGTCTCATAGGATATGACACTTGTGTCAGAGCGTTTCCTGCACCTTGACCTCCAGTGACGAGTATTCCTTCTTTTGCACCTTTATTCCATTTCATCACGCGATGATTATCTCTGTCTGATACGTAAACAGCCTGTTGTCGATCGACAAAAATCTGACTCGGATCGTTGAGTTGATTTAAACCAGCACCTTGTCCATAGCCACCAGCCACAATGATTTCATTTTTGTCTCCTATCTGATATCGTCTGACTTGATCTCTGACAGTGTTTCAGATGTAGAGACACCTCTGTTCATCCATGGCAAATTCCCAACAATCGATGCCATCGATGAGGATTTCTTCTTGAGTTGTGCCACTAAGACAAGGCCATCTTAGGACTCGGGCCAATTCAATTGATCCAATCGATTTTCTATGCCATTATCACCAACTAGCACTTGTACACTCGAATGACCCATCTTCCATTGGACGATACGATAATTGTTGTAGTCAGCGATGACCATCATTTGATCATCATCAATGAAAAAGACCCCAAGGGTCGTTGAGTTGGGTTTGGGTGTGGGTAAATCGAAACAACAACGCCCACACAACCAGACCCACACCCACCCACACCACTCATCCACACCCACACCCACCCTTGTCCTTCCAAATGCACATAAAAAATCAAAAATTTAAATTTTCACGAGTGCTTCGGTTCCTTGGTGCTGTCATGGGCTCTCTCTTAAGATATCCTATAGATATTTTTAGAGAAAATTTGAAAAATAAATTGTGCATAATACAAGAATGAATTATAACCGTTTAGGTATAGTCCTATAGGAATGAATCAGGGTTTTCAGTCAAAATCAGGATAACTAGGTTACTTCTAAAAAGCCACAACAAAATCAGAAAATTAATACTGCTGCTAGGTCTGCAACAGACGCGATTTCATTGAAATTCATTCAGTTGTGCTTGAAAGTGACTGGAATGTGAGTGTGAAAATTCACATTATTTCCACCTACACCCATACCCACACCGACACTCTCTATGGCAACTAGCAAGCCTATGTAGATTTTTATTATTATTCTTTTATTTACCGCATGCATATATCGTAAAAATGCAAATCAAGTAATGCATTCAATATTTCTGCAAACTTTTTTGTTTATTAAATTTTTCGAGTTACAGATTTTAATCAATCATTTAGTAAATTTTGTCCGTCAGATTTGAATAATTACTTTCAAAACAAAAATTAATGAAGTCGTCATTTATTGGATAAACAGGAAAGTTCGTAGGGATCTGGTTAACTCAATTTGTGCTGCGTGACATGGTAATTACAAGATCTAGACTAATGGCAAATGTGCACAGCAAACCAACCAAATATGCCAGTGTTCTGAATGGCTGCAGCCCCAATACATACATCGTAGAATGTACAATACGGGCAGTTAAGTAGATTGCACCGTAGACAACCACTCTAACTATATCAGCATTCACTGAATAGGAAAATATAGCTGTTCCCAAATAAAGTATAAGAAAGTATGTATCATTTTCTGAATCATTACTGAGAGCTCCATTGATGCGCATCGCTGTATCAGATGCATCTGGCGAAGTTGATCCTGTTGAATTTTTATCGTTGTTTGCGTTGCGTGTC